TGCGGCTGGAAAGAGTCGGGGGTCCCCCAGCACCGGTGTCGACCCGCAGAGCCCCCACTCCGTCTGCGGATCCTTCAACCAGCGTCAGATCCAGACCTTCTCTTCGAGGTGCCGCTGTTTTAAGGAAAGGCGCTCTGGTGGCGCGGTGGTTAAGCGTTCGGTCACGAACCTGAAGTTAGTTGGTTCGAACCCAGCTTCGGCTCCGACCTTGGGAGACACGTGCTTCAGTCTAGAGGACAGCCTGGGAGATGCGACGGAGGCAGTTCTGCTCTGTCTGCCCGGTTGCTCCAAGTTGGGTTTGTAAGGCACCATTCAAGGTATTGAATGTACCCGCCTCCTCCTCCCTCCCCCACCTGATCGCTGGGGGAGAGGGTGGAGGAGACAGGGGCGCCGGATCTCTCTCACACCCACACAAACACCACCACCCCCCACCCCCACCCCCGCCATGCCTTTGTCTTCCTCAGTGGGATAACCAATTTCATTTGTGGCTAGAATGCTTGCCTCTTCTGACTTGACCTGGTTGGTGGACGTGGGACTTTATAGCCAGGGAAATAAATACCCTATAACTGCCCCCAAGTGGGCCCATCCCAGGATCCGTAGGCTGTGGAAACACTAGGGGGAGGGGGGCAGGAGTCCAAACTCTTAACACACACCCTGCCCTCAGTCGGGGCCCACTCATAGCCGATGGGACTGGGTAGAACTGCCCTGTGAGTTTCTGAGACTGTAACTGGGTATGGGAGGAGAAAGCCGGGTCTTTCTCCTGCAGAGCAGGATCAGCCCAATGGGCAACCTCTGGGCTCCCTTAGTGAGAGTTAAGATGCCTGTATTCCAGCCTCAGCTCTCCCCTGACCACACAGCTTGCCTGCCTCCCTTACCCTGTGCTTCTGTTTTCTCCCTTATGTGGGGCTCCATGGAGTAGGTGGCTTGAGCTAGAAGACTGTTCCCAACGAGTGTGATCCAAATATGACAGTAACAAAATTCAAATATGACCAGTATTACTATTGTTTTGTTCTTACCACTTCACTTAGTTCTTGTTTGTATTGTTTCTGTTGGGTGTGCCAGTTTGTGAAGCACAGGAGTGGATACGTAGAGATAATAACTGATGCAAGGTTTTGTAGGGGATGGGGGGGTGAGGGTGGAGATGGGGAGGGGGAGGGGATTTCTGCAGTAACCAGTGAAGGGGGAGGGGGAGGGGAGGGAACACGAACTGAATATTATTACACAACTTGTTTTAAAGGTGATTTAATCATGGGGTAGGGGAGAAAATGTTCTGAAATTGGCCTCCCCCCCAAATTACATCAACCTCTAGGTCCTAACTGTTGGTCTCAGTCCAATTCTAGGATGCAAGAATTCTACAGGCCAAAATCAGCCTTTGTTTTCTGTGTGCAGCAGCAATGGAATACTGGTGGTCCAGTATCCTAGGGTCTTAAAGGCCCCTTGCAAGGCTGCCTTCCAACCTAAAGGATCATTTTTCTGGGCCATGCTTCTGTTTGCCCTGCAAACAGAAGCCCAATAACCAGTCCCAGAGGTAAGTAACGTCAGCTGTGCCATACCAGCTCACAAAGAGCCTGATTAGGATTAAATGTGTCTTACCTCCTATACAAGGTGTTCGAGATCTCAGACCATCACTGGTGGAGGAATAAGAGAAAGGGTCGACGGGAATCCATGTTTATATATATATATATATATTTTCCATGTTTATAATGATCAAAGGACTCGTGAGCTGAAATGACCTTGTTACCAGATAACAAGTGAATCTGATGCGGTGGCCACTTAATGACTGCTACCCTGGACAAAGAGTTGGTTTGATCCTCTCTGAGGGCTCAGTGCTAGACAAAGGGAGCCCGGGTGTCACTGAATGGGACTGAACGCCTTTTCCATTCTCATTAAGAGGCACTGGGAAAGAGAAGGCATTTTTGACCTGCTCTCGTGCCCGGGAGCCCTGATGGCGTGTTGGGTTACATGACCTTGGGGGTCAGCAATTTGACGCTACCATTCTCTCCTTGGGGGAACGATGAGGCTTTCCATGCCTGTAAAGAGTTACGGTCTCTCTTGGAAATCCCCAGGGGCAGATCTACCTGCCCTGTAGGGACCACGTGAATTGGAATAGACTCGATGACTGCCAGTTTGGGGTTTCTTTTTTATCTTGCCAGTACTTCAGATGTGTTAGCTGTGCGTGATGAAAAAAGCCATAAACCAGTGTTAGTACAGGGCCCTGGAAAAGTCTATGTCTTATTCAGAGTTCCACTTCTGGCTCCAGGCATGATGGATCTGATTGAAAGCTGTGGGGCACCACAGCTGGTCACCCAGGGCAACTGGAATCTGGGTGAGGTGGAGGAGCTCAGTTGGAGCAGGATTGCCCATCACCAGGGACAAACAGGATGGGCCAGAAAACTACTTCCTGCCAGATGCCTACAGGTGAGGCAGGAGAGAGACTCCAGTAGTCTATAGTATTGCCTTTCTCTCGCTTGCTCTTCACCCGCCTGAAGCCCGGTGTCCTGTTCGCCTACAACTCCTGTGGGCTCTAAAACATATCTCACCTGGCCCTCCGTCTTCTGCAGCAGTCAGCACCATGGACCAATCCTTCCAGAAAGCCCTCCTCCATGTTTCCCATCACCACCTGCTCTGAAGTGAGCCAATTAAAAAAAAGGAGAAGGGAGCTAACACCTGCCTTGGAGTTGGACTGCCTGGTTCTGAGCCCTGGCCTGAACCAAGTGTAATTTCTGTTGGTCTCCTTTAATTCTTCTATGCAGCAAGGATGATGGTAGCCCCTGTCCTGTGGGGCCACTGCAGGGAGTAAGTGAGATAACCCCTGGGAAGCACCACATGCCTGACACATGGTGCATGCCCAAAACAGGTTGGCTCAGACTCGCTACGAAGAATTAAAGTGGGCCAACTTCCCAGAATCGCTGTTCTGACTCCTAGCAGCCCTGGGTATAACAGAAAGAAACTGTCCAGCCCTGCGCCGTCCTCACATGCGGAGCCAAGTTTGAGCTCAGTTTTGCAGCCACGGTATCAGTACACCACACTGAGGGCCATATATTAATAAATGGTACCTAGATCAAGTTGGGGGAAAGCCAATGTTTTCGACTCCTGCCAAGAGTTACAGTCTTAGAACCCCCCAGGGGCAGTTTTGCCTTGTCCTATAAGGTCACAAGGTGAGTTATATCCAGAACACAGCCTGACATGGAATCCATACTCAGCAAATATTAGCTATTCTTACAAACACCAACCCACTGTCATTGCATAGATACCATAGCAGCCCCCATAGGGTTTCCGATTGTAAATCTAGCAGACAGCCTCATCCCACTCCCAAGAAGCAGTTGGTGGGTTTGAACTGAAGCTCCACCTGGGCTCCTTTTCTTGTTAATGGCGGCTTCTAGTTCCAGCCTTTTCCTTCAGATCTCCCCTAGACTTTAATTGCATCAGCCCGCCTTCCTCCCACACCCAAGCTGCTCAATCTCTCTACCTTT